TAGCTTGTGTAAAGAGCCTGTAATTTTAATGTAGCATGTGTAAAGAGCCTGTAATTTTAATGTAGCATGTGTAAAGAGCCTGTAATTTTAATGTAGCATGTGTAAAGTGCCTGTAATTTTACTGTAGCATGTGTAAAGAGCCTGTAATTTTACTGTAGCATGTGTAAATAACCTGTAATTTTACTGTAGCATGTGTAAAGAGCCTGTAATTTTACTGTAGCATGTGTAAAGAACCTGTAATTTTACTGTAGCATCTGTAAAAAGCCTGTAATTTTTATGGACATTTTTCACTTTTTTGAGAATTAACCATCCACATCCGTAACTTTAAAATAAATTATTAATTATATATATGAGTACCTAGAGCATTAGACTGTCCGAAAATTAGGTTCGTATTGTCGTATATATAAATACGGCAAAAACACATATTGAGTTAGCAAGTCGACTGTCCCTAAACAACCAAATAGGGTGTAATGAAATTTCTCAAAATTTATGTTTGTATCACAAGAATACGTTTAAGTTTATCTGAAAATAACCAACATAAACACAGAATTTAAATCGTTGAGATGCAAGGGGCTTGAGTTTGTCTGGAACATTTTGATCACACAGTGGTTTGAAACGTAGATGTATATCAGTTTAATTCCATTTTATAAATACTCGAATTTTAAATGTACCCAGTACTGCAGTGTGTTTTTCGCAATACAAAATAATAACGTTAACAAAGGTTTTCAATTAGATAATTTGTTATTTCTTACAGATCTGATCTCGGGCAAATAATGCGAAAACAACAAAAAACCTGTTTAAAAGAGTTTAGTATAATTAATTCTGTGTTCCCTATTATAACTTTAATAACCCATTATCATCTATGTTCAGTAAGAATGTAATAATGTACAATTTAGCGTAATAACGTGTTGGACTAAAGTTCATTGTAGCGTTTTGCTAATACAAATAGCAGTTTTTCCTTCCATATCTTCTGTTGAACAGATTTTTGATATGCCAACACAATAAGCAACCAAAAATTATAATTTGTTGTTAATGGCAAAGCTACATAATGGGCTATGTGTGATCTGCCAACCGCTTGTATTGAAATCCCATATGTAACGCCATACGCTCTGAGACTTACCACTGAGCCCCCGGGGGGTTTGCTTTATAAACTGAGAGACTATTTTTCTCACGTCTAGACGGTGGTTAGCGTGTCGAACTAGGGAATCTGGGGGTTCTTGACCCGCTACCACAAAACTGCGCTCCGCACTTTGGAGCTGAGTTCACTTTATAAGATTGACGGTCAAATCCAATTCTACGATTAGAGTAGCCCAAGAGTTGGCAGTAGGTGCAGTTGTCTTTCTTCTATCGGTCCAAAATTAGGTAGGGCTTTACTCTTTTAAATATTACAGCAAATAATAAACCGTCTTAAGTTTCGTTTAAGCCATAGACGTGGAACTATGGTTTGGTTTGGTTTGTTTTGAATTTTGCGCAAAGCTACACGAGCAACACGCTAGCCGTCACTATTTTAGTAATGAAAGACTAGAGGGAAGTCATCATCAACCACCGCCAACTTTTGGACTACTCTTTTACCAAGGAATAGTGGGATTTACCGTCACATTATAACGCTTCCACGGCTGAAAGGGCAAGTATGTTTGTGGGATGGGGATTCGAACTCGTGACCCTCAGATTGCGAGTCAAGCGCCCTAACTACCTGGCCATGCTGGGCCGTGGAACTGTTAGATGCAAGAAAATTTGTAGGTTTTCAACACATTTCACATTCTTAAAAACAAACAAACTGAAATTCATTCGATTTATATGTATAGAAACGTTCAAAGTTATTGTTTATTTGTTTGTTTTTGAATTTCGCGCAAAGCTGCACGAGAGCTATCTGGGCTAGCCTTCCCTAATTAAGCAGTGTAAGACTAGAGAGAAGGCAGCTAGTCATCATCACCTACCAACTCTTTTACCAACGAATAGTGGGATTGACCGTCACTTTATAACGCCCCCACAGCTGAAAGGGCGAGTGTGGTGGGACGGAGAATCAAACGCGTGAACCGAGCACCCTAACCACCTGGCCAAAGTTATTGAAAAGTCCGTTTTTGTTTGGTTTATTTTAAGCGCAAAGCTGCAAAAATTGGCTATTAGTTGTGAACCCAGTGCAAGGATGCAACTATGAATTTTGGCGTTAAAAGCTCTTAAGTTTACCTCTAGATTACTGGGGGTCTTGAAAACATATACAGCTTATAAAAAGTTCTCATATCATCATGTCAAAATAATGTTCATAGCCAACTTATAAGAAGAGTATCATAATAATTGCAGTGATCATTTTAATAGTATACTAAAGTTTTAAATTAACATGCTGTTAATTTTATGTCAAACACAAGGCCCATATAAAAGTAACATGTAATGTCTTGTATAATTATTGTTGGGATATTTTTACGTATATATATTTTGTATTTGGAAGGAACCTATATAAGTAATATAAGGATCAACTAATTTAGAAAAAACAATGTTGAGCAAACATTTTTAGTCTAGTAGATATCATTCCTTTCGAGCTTTCTCTCAGGACCGCGCTACTAAGTAAATAGTTCAGCTCCATCTTGAGTGATATTCAAAATATTATTATACAATGAAAACATATTAAAGAATGCAAAAGGCAAAGAAAAAAACAACAACAAAATAAACTAACAATATTAAACCCATCCGATATAAAAACGATACTAATTTTTACGGTACACAATACTTGTAGATTATTTACTATGATGAGATGCAAATTAAAAAACTTCATTAAATATCATAAAGTCTGAAAAACTAGTATTCCGAATAATTCGTTTTAAATATTCAGTAAATGCCGTTTTGTTTTTCACACAAGCTTGCTTGGTTTACTATTTCTATTTTGTAATAGTATAAACAATAATATTATTTTCTGGATGGTATTGTAATAATATTTACAATAACATAATTTCTAGATTCTATTGTAATAGTATTTACAATAATATAATTTCTGGATTTTATTGTAATAATATTTACGATGTTGTAATTGTTGAATTACATCTTTTTTTTTAAATGTTTATAACTCCAATTTAGAAAGAATCATAACTGCTTAATTCAATTAATATACATTTGAAGAAAAACCGAATTTCAAACGTATTCAGTTTTCAAATAACTTGGCAAAATTTTATAATTTTTCTTTTTAAGATGATGTTGGATGACAATAAAAGTATAATGGAATATGTTTAAAAATTTCAAAAAAATCAAAGGAACGTCTTCTGAGCATCAAATGTTCTTCGCCACTATAAATCTTTATTAGGTTTAATACATAACTAAAGCATTTGACCAAGTAATTGGTCAAAATACCTGACAAAGTTTCATACTATAGTTGAGCACAGTTTGTTATTGCTCTGATCCCGGTAACTATACTGCAATGAAGGATAAATCAATATACACAAAAAGACTTCTAATTCTCAGGTTGTTTTAAAGTAAAATTCAAAATTTTCTGGATGAGGAATACCCTTACTTACATCACTTTTGGCACAGCTAAGTAAGGCAGTGAATTCAATTCAGCATTTTGAAAAGGTTAGACTGATCATATATCTTTATTACACCATGCTACTGACGTAAGTACAATAATTCGACAAAAAATAAAGATAACAACATTACTATACCTTGGGTAATTAATGCTATTGTCTATAGATCATAAATAATACCATTTTGTAAATGTACAGCCAATTTCACTTTCTAGTGAAAAATATGTTATTGGAATTTCCAATGCACTTGAGAACAGTTTTTAGAAAACATTTTACACGTTCATTTCCATAAAACTTTATTTTGTTCAAGACATACGCTTCTCTCTCTCTTTTTTTTTTCTGTTTGATACGCCGTTTAAAGAAAACTGAACACAACGTGAAATAGATCAATATCGTGTCCCAGGACACTAAAATATGATCACAAGTTTAAGTTTTTCATTCTATGGCCATGGACTTAAAAAAAAGAAGAGGTATTAAAACAATATTTTGTTCTTGCAACTATTACGAAAAGGAAGTTTAGTTTATGAAACTAATACCGAATATTTGAAATTATATATTTTGACAGTGTATCTAACATTAAAATTTTGTTTACATATGAGTTTAGGGCATATTAGCTAAGTTGACTCCATAACAACACTGCGGATACTGAAATGACAATATATTTATTTCTTTAGGTGAAATAGACCATTCATCAGATCAAGAATACAACGAGTAATGGAAATGCAACACATAAAGAATGTACAACACAAATGTTGTCGTCACTTGGACAGCATATACTTTCTGGCCACCCAGTGTTCCGCAGAGGTTGGTTGGAATCACAATGAAGCTAGCCCTCACAACGTCAAGAAATTGCGAAAGTGATCACTACAATAGTAGTTAAACAATCAAAAATGTAGCTTTAATCAGAGTAAAATGAACCAGGAATGCAAGTAAAAAGAGAATTATCCTGATCTGAAAAATTCCGTTTAACGTAGATTGTGCTGTGAAGACGATAGTGACTATACTGTTATACACGTACTACAGACGAAAGACATCGGGTGATCTGTCCGGAAGGATCCGGATAGCACAACTGTAGATGTCATACCATAGTCAAAAATAAGAAGATGCCTTCTTTCTCTACGGATTCTGCCTATACAACCTAGGTGATAGATCTTCTGTACAAAACCTAGGTGAAGTGGAGAACTCGAGGAAGTGATATGAACAAGATGAATTATGATGAAACAGTTTAGTTTTAGTTTTTTCTTCAGTACTCTATGATGAAAGTGTTTCCAGCTATGTTAACAGACACATTTCTATACTTCTTCACACACAAAAAACAACAACAAAAACTTCCTCATCATCACTAAAATACTTAGCTACATTGCATTCATTCAAGTTGTCGAGTTTTCTTTTTTTTTGTACAGTTAAATACAAGAGAAAGACAGAGGTTTGAGCATCATTTATATGATGCGACACTGTAGAGTCTGATGGCAGACATAATGTTAACACAAGTTTCACACCTATTTTTTCAAAGATTTCCAGACTGAGCATCAACAGGCACTTTCCATTTCTTGAGACCGCCTTCGTTCTTGTTGACGACGTCGAAATCTCAAGAATTCTTCTTTCAGCGCCGCACACCGAGCCTCTGTATTATCATATTTGCTTGGTTTTTTAGGTTTTGGGTACAGGTTAATATACAGTTCACTATCACTAAAGCCCCTGTCAGGGGCACTGTGTCGAGCAGAATTGTTGTTATGGGAATCAGAATAATCTTGTACCTTTTTAAGAAACTGTAATTTTAATGGGCTGATGTTGTGAGATTCAAAATTTGGGTTGGCAGACATACCCAATGGAGTAGGTGAAGGAAATACAGGCTCAGAGTGTGGGGAGTCTAAATTAACTTCAAGTTCACCTAAAACAGAAGTTGATTGGTTAGGATTTGGGAATGAACGGCGGGCAAAATTCGCAGCCCCTGGTACTGAGAGCATACTGTTACTACCAATGCTATGGCCAAGGGAGCTCAAAAAGTGTAAGCTGGTCTCCTTTGCCTCAAGTTCATCTTGCAGGCTATGTCTACGAAAGTGTACAGTGGATGCTGATTTGTTTTCTTTGCCAGTACTTATGTGACCAGAACTTCCACTGGCAATACTTGCTCTACTATAGCTTCTGACCATCTCTCCTTCTTGAATGGAGTTCTTACCTTGATTAACAGGCTCTACAGATGACATTTGTGGCTGGAAATTAATCCTAGTGTTTTCTATTAAAGATGGCGTGATGCTTGTAGCTATAGCTGTTGGGTCTCTTATATCTCTTAAAATTTCTGGAGACATGTTACGATGTAAACCCCCACTGCGGACTTTCTCAACGGTTCCTAAAAGACGCTCACGGGTGTACGTCATTGGATGGTTATTGCTACTGGTATCACTGTTTTCCTGTTGTACTTCTGATACTATACCATGATTTGTGGAACCTTGTAAGTTATTGTTTGAATTTAAAGGTGGTAACAGAGAAGCAGTTCTCCTGTCTTGTGGAATGCTGCCAGATGTAGCTGTCCTTTCTTCAAGTCTTTGGCCGAAAGACGTCGTACTTTTGGTAACATCAGTCAATCCCTGAGCTGCAAAGTGTTTAGGATATGTCTGGTAAGCTTGTGAATTGTACACCTGGTGAATATTCAAATTTGGCAAAACAATATGAGGATTAAAACCAACTGCATGCTTATGGTGCTCATCTCCTCCGAATCCTGTTTCTCGTCCGTTTATTTGAGGTCTCCTTAGAAACTCAGGTTCTGATGTTTTTGGTGACATAAGCGTCGATTCTCCAGATGATGGGTTGACTTCCAAGTTTGAGAATTGTTCAGGTCTGTATATAGGTCTAAACTGAGTGGCTGGAATCCTGGACTGGGCCTCATGCAACAGACGTAAAGAAGGCAACTCATAAGCAGGATATTGGTGAGAACTGAGACTGGTGACAGTGCTAGGAAATGACTTTTCTGCAGATGATGGCTGCTTCACTGAGCTCAAGTCCTCTGGAAGGGTTAAGTTCCCAGTAGTAGCGAGACCTGGGCTGCTGGTGCAGAACCCTGGATCCCTGGGGGAGTAGATGGCTGGGATAAGTTGAGAAGTAGAATTAAATGATACTATTGAACGAGGAGATAAACTCCTTTTACTTTGGAGAGTCACATGAGCAGGAAGAGTATGGGGTTGGGTATGGCTACTTTGGCGGCTGGTGTTGCTGAGGAGACTTGCCCGTGACCTGGACGGAGTGAGGACATGAGCGTCACGGGCAGTTCTGAGAAAACCCCCCTCATCGTCTTCACCGTCTTGCAGCTCAAAATTGCCCTCAGTGGTGCCGTTTATTCTCCCAGAGGGCCGAGGGTACTGCACTTTATCATTATAGCTCACTGCTTTGGAAAATTGGTTGTATTTCTCCTTTTGCTCCACCATCTGTGACCATTCTCGTGAGCTGAAGTCAGTCCCAGGGGATGTGGTGGTCGTGACACCAAGAGTGGAGTTCTGACTGGAACTGAGCAGGTGGGAAAAACTGGAGGACATACGTCGTAGCGCAGATAGAATTAAACTCGGTACTCTAATTTTGGAACTTCTGGTGTATGGAGGTTGTCTAGTGCTAAAATGGATATAAAAATATTTTCAGTATGTTATTTAGACATGTAAGAACAAGAAAAGGATATAAATTATTCACTTAAGGTTAAGTTAAAAACTTTTACTAATTTTAACATTTCAAATTTGGATATATGAAAAGAATAGGTAAGAATCTACTGTAAGTGATCCTTACAAAGATTGAGGAAACTAAGCAGGTTATTACTATTATTTTCTTTTATAAAAATCATCAGTACAACTTTTGTTGTGTGTATAATTACAGAATATCAGGAACTTTGTAAAACTTGTATTTTCTCAGTTAAAATCAAAACTTACTAACACAAAGTGTTTTGATCCTGATAATAATCGTATCAGTATTAAAGATTTCATAATGATTTAAGTTGAGATAAACCTTTAATGAAGGAGTAGAAAACCCACTAATTCATTTCTGACTTTTGAAGTACCCCTTTCATAAATATAATGCACTATATGCAGTTTTTCAGAGTCACTAAAGATATCATGCTAAGAAGTATAACAGGTCAACTCATCAAACACTATTTTCAAACAGTTGTCATGCTTAGTAACCTACTTTATTAATTAGTTAATTGCTAATTACTAACTAGCTTTTATCACATGTTTCTGCTGCTCATCTGTTGCCATCTTCAAGAAAGTCCTAAGAATAACTGGTGGTGGTGGCCACAATTTGAACCTAGTTCTTTTTGATAGAAAGGCTTGTGTGCTATCCACTATTCTCGGGTGGGCCACGAGCTTACCAAGGAGAGACCCACATTAAAACCACATGGTGGAGATGTGGCAGAACTCTTTCCCCAGTGTATGAGGGAGTACCTGAGGAAGGGCTGGGTCATGCCCTGGAGCATTCCAGACAAGTCACTGTATAGGATAAGCAGATTTGGAGTGAGATAGTGCTATGTTTGATGCATGATCCTGAGCTTGTGTTAATAAAGTGGTCAGTGATGAGGGGCAGCTGCAATGGTCAGCCAAGACATTAACATTCTGGTCACTTGGTTAAGATAATAAGCCATCTTAGACGTCGTCACTTGGTCAAGAAACCAATAACTGAAGAAATGTTGCTGCCTTTACTCTGGATTATCGAGTGGTAGTCCAAAAAAACTGTGGACAAATTTTAAATTGTCCGCTAGATCAAAACAGCTAAGATGGTCATGTATTTGAAAGAACATTGCATTCCTTGCTTTCTGAGCTACAATTACCACAGATAGGTCAGTTTTTTTTTACAAAATGACAGTCTTATGTTCCCTTATATTGAGTAGTAGCTGTTCTACTGAACTGGCTGTGTGGTTCTCAAGAAAATTGTCACATGTGCACTTAATTGTGCATGAATCCTCCATGTGCAGTGAGAGAGTTGACTTGGGTGACTTATTTCCCTGAGGTTACATATATTTACTTTTTTATATTGACTTGTGTAAGGTGATGAAGCATACCAATGGTTTGGAGTTGGTGGCCATTTTGGACAGTGAAGACACATCCATTGTGGAACAACTGTATTTAACTCAAGTTGGTTAAAGTAAGCACTGATATACAAGGTAGCAAAAGAACTAATATTAATTCTGATGAAAAGCATTTGAATGAATAGTATAGTTCAACTAAATTCTATCAGTAGTTATTTTGTGAGGCCTGCAGAGTACAATAAGTTTTTATCATTTGCAGGGGGCAGCACATTACTAAACTGTAAATATCGATTTATTTATAAAAGTAGCCCAAATTAGCTACTGAGGTAATGGTGCACAAGCTCTAGACAGTATATCAAAAGCTACTACTTAGTGGTAAAAGAAAATGGGTTTGATCTTTCATGGTCTAATTTCTAGCTGATTCAGTTGCCCCCTTGAATGGCTGCCAAATGTATGGTAGATATGGTTTATTCCTTACGAATTTGAATCATTAGCTAATTAAGATCCCTGGTTTGTATGGTAATATGTTGCATATTATACTCTACATTAATATAAAAATGCACCACAACTCTCCTGATTGGTTTTATTACAGACAAATAAATACGAGACAGAATTATTTGGGCCACCCAAAATCAGTCGACAGCTTGAATAATACAGCTTCAAATTGTCAGGTGTTCACAAAATTTCCAATCAGATATATGTCAATGTATTTTAATCAATCTAAAACTGAAAGCCAAAGGAGTTATCTACGCATGGTATTTCTGATGATAAACTAATATTTGATGTCACGCATAACAAAAACATTTTAATAAGCCTTAGTCTTATGGGAACAGCTAAATTCTGGGTAAACTGTTTGTTAATTTGGCTCACCCCAAACCCAGTGCCTGGGGGCAAATGCCCCCCCCCCCCACCATGCTACTGTTCTGAAGTAGCTGTGAGTAATCAGATAACTTTCTTTTTATTATTACTAAATGGTGCATTTCCTTATGTGTGAATATTAGTGTAATTAGTATGGAGAGTTTTAGTTTCAAAATATCATATTTTCAGTTTGGTTACGATTTTGTGTTAAGGGTTTGTTCTGTTTTAAGTATGGAGTGTTTAAATTTGTATGTATAAGTGTCTGCTTCATTACACATCAGGTAGTTTTAAAGAGGCAGTGTATTAGTGACTTGTGCAGTACTAAAAGGTTGCATTATTTGTCAGGGATATTTGAATGCTTTAGTATGAAGGGTGTTCAAGGGTTATTGCTTTGAGGAAAGGTTTAAAGCGATTTTGAAGGGTTTTCGTTTTTTCTTTCTTTTATTATTTGATGTTATTTTCATATGTTAATTTAGATCTTTGTTAAAGGGTCGGTTTGGTAAATTACTTTTTATGTTATCCTTGCTCTTAAAAAGGGTTTGGTGTAAGTTAAACTGTAAGAAGTTGCTCTCTATTGAATTTTTATGTCTATGAAGGTTTTTTATGTATTTTGCAGTGTTGAGTTTGTTTATACCATTGCATTTTATTTTAAAATGGTATATTTTTTTATTCTTCTAACGTTATTATTAGCTGTCCCCTTTTAAAGAGATAAGTATCTCAGGTGGCAAAAGCCTAGTTTTGAATTTGTATTGTTAAAGGGATTTCATTGAATGTGTACTTTCATTGTTTAAGATCTTTATTTTTTTTAAAGGGTTGTATTCTTTTAATATTCAAAGTATGCTTTTCTTTGTTAATAGGTTTTGTATTATGTAAGGTTTTCTTTATTAAGGGGTACATCGGTATTAAACTGTTTCTTTGTTAAACAGTAGTTTGACATGTAATAGTGTCTTTGTTAAAGGATATTTCCTTTGTTCCTGTATATTGTATGGTGATTCATAGCATGTTAGACTAAACTCTCCTAAGAGGGGTAGATGAATTGTGTAACTGTTTCCACTGTTGTTTTTAACCTTTGTGCTTGCATAGTGTTGTTGGACAAGTGGTTTTACTAGAGAGAGAGAGAGGAGGAGTTATACCATTTCTTGGGTGACACAGGATTAAAGTTTGATTTTTGTTTGTAGTTTTAGAATTAGGGACAGACTGGAGGTAAAGGGAGGACGAAATGTGGTACAGGATCGTATCATGTTTTTCTGTTCCTTTAGTTAACATGTAAACTCTTGAGAAATTTCAATACTTTCTTTCATTTCAGTTTGGATGTGGAAAGTCATTCAAGTAAACCCATCAAATTTTGTTTCTTCCTAGCTCTAGATGGGATCTCATTTTGCAATAGACAGTCAACCATTATTTAATTTTTGTAGTGCATATTGATGAATAGAAGACATTAATACTAGAAATAAATGTTATTTTTATTCACTGTCAGTTTTGGTTTGTGTTTTAGTGAATGTTCCTGAAGAAGCTGTAAAGTTCTAAAAATCACCATTTTGGTGTTATAAGGTCGTTTATTTCTAGTATTAATGTCTTCTATTCATCAATATGCACTATTACACAATTAATCATGTTTCTTGCAGGGAAGATAGACATGACATCCTGGAATAGAAAGCTGGCTTTAATGTTGCCAAATTGGGTAATGCCTCGAGTTTTCCCTCACTACAGCATGAATGAGTGAAGGTCATGTGCAGAATAGGTTTATTGTGAAAACCTAGCTTTCGATTACTGTATTTCTAGTATTAAGGCCAGGCAGATTTTGACTTTTTGTTAGAGCTTCTTGTAAGATTCACTGTTGTTTAGGTATAGTTGAGATCTTAACATTTCTTCTTTTTAAATACTGTTTTAACTTTTTCCATTTTGTAGTTTCATTTAGGTACAGTTTACCTTACAGGAAAGAGCTATGTTTTCACTTCTTTTCTTTCTTTCTCATGTCAGTTTTGTCAGCCATGAAAGGCACACATACCCTTGTTTTGTTCTTCTATTTGTGACTGTAGTCTTGTTACTTACTTAGTGATAAAGGTTGTTTTTTGTGCATCTTTCATGATTTGACTTATTCTTCCTGATGAACTGAGTAATAAATCAGAGATATAAACAGACATACACTATGTAATTTGATTTCCTTGAAATTTCCAGTTGGCAAGCCCCAACTGACTACATGGAGGGAAGTCTGCAAACTGAAAAATACCAAGAAGATACAGGTTTGAATCCTGCCCACAACCACCAGAGAAACAGTCATTCTTAGAACTTCTCTGAAGATGGCAGCCAAAATGCAAGATAAACACTAGTTACAAGTTAGTAAATGATTAAAAAGGAGACTACTAGCTATGATAATGATGGATATTCAATCACCATAACCTATTCATAAACACTATTCTTCAATCTTAAATCTATGTTTTGCCTTTGTTTCAAAAAACAGTTTAACTATGCCATTTCTAAAAACAACAAATAACCTAATCTGTGATATTTAATGACAAAATATATAAAGAATTATAATAAATCTTAGCCAATAAAATAAACTGCTGTATCAAAGAGTGAGAGATTAGAAATTCAATTGGTCAAATTAAGAAACACTGAACAGCCATTGTAAGAAGCTCTACCATCTGGGAATGCTGAAATTAGGCAGAATTTGAACTTGTTGCTGCACAGAAAATAAATTAATTTTGAAGTTCAACATTTAGATTTAAACAGTCAACACATACTGACCAATATCAAGCCAATGCATGTCCCATAAATTAGCCTGTGGATGCCCAAGTGCTTAACTAAGAAAACTTATGACAAACTAATCTTTTTCAGGATATGAAACATATACACATTTCATTTATGGACTTAGTATACACTAAGCTAAGTTTGGACAATTTAACATAAGTATTTAAAGTATGTGAAATGAAAAACATGGATGTTACAATTACTTTACTCTTAAACATATCTTTCTCTCTATATGAATATACATCTTTCTTTTACAAATCAAACAAAGACATTTCTAATTATATTTTAACAGCAGGTTAATTGGTCATAGAATCAACTTTCTTTTCACATCTGGGGATTGTAGAAGTTTATGGCAAAAGGGAATATTTTAGAAAATTACAATTAATCCTTATTATGTGTCCAGGTGGTGACTCAATCAATCAATTAAGTAAAATAACAAAGTGTCACTTTACAACACATGTGGTATATGTACACATATGATTATCAACTAAGAATATGACATTAAAGTAATTAGAATTGTGCAAACAAAGGATTTTCATGTCATAAACTGAAGCTGTACTTTTAAGTATGATTACATTAATTTAATAGTTTATAGAAGAGAAATTATCTCAATGTACAAGTTTTTAAAACAAGCAACTTTCACATGTATATGCAGGACATTTACAAATTTTTATGTCATGAATGAGTTATTTTGAACAGAAAAATACAATTACACAACCTAACAATTCATACCTAGTGTGTCAAAAAAAACAACAACACAATCAAGCATTTTGCTAATAATTGTTTTGTCATTGATATTATACCCTTTATATTTTCAGAGTGTACTCTATGGACCTGTTGAATTTAATTCTGTAAACTACAGGCACACACCTCAAGTGTGACTTCCCAATTGAACAATGAACAAAGATAGTGGAATTCTATATCACCACAAAATCCTACAAAAAACAACAAAATAATCACTACTGTTGTCACTGCAATGTTCAAATTCGACTTCTTTCTATGGGGTTACTTGCCTGAGAAGACAAGGACGTCACATCGACACATCTTGCATACCAATAATAAGGACAATTAGAAAAACATTTTCAATAACTGGTTTTTGTGCAAGTAATTAAAAAACTATTATCAAAAACCTTCGATTGCATTTTTTTTACACACCCTGTATTTTTGAGTTGAAAATATTTATGGCAAAAACAAAACAAAAACAAATATATTTACTAATTAATTACACAATTAAGTATAATTATTTCATCAACATTTATAATAAACAATCCTCACAAAAGAGATATGAATTTCTTTAAGACTACAAAATTAACCAGAATCTTACCTATGGTACATCCTTCTTCACTAGCTGCATATTCGATAAAAAAAAGAGTGATATAAAGCCTAATTAATTGCTTTCTCTTATTCAATTATTTGTGTTGCTGATTTAAAATTAAACAAGGCAGTTTATAAATATTTAACAATATTAAAAAGGATTGCTATGAACTGTTGCCTAGCAATTCATCCAATGAAGATCAAAATATTTTCCAATAAAGAACTTTGGCAAAAATAGCTGCAAGTTCCATAAAAACTGCATCCCGAGTTAAGGTGATCTTTAACTGTTCAAAGACAAAGTTGTAGGCAATCTATAAGTCAGATATCACTCAAATGACAAAAAATATTAATTTGAAAGAAGTATAAGGAAATTGGATTTTGTTAACCAATTATGAAGCAAATTATCTATGATCCTGAAATCTCTGCTTGTTTCTGAATAATACAATTTTTAACAGGAAAATTAAGAGTCTGCAAGAAACAATGAATAACAGGAACTTAATGAACACCAGTTTTAAAATGATCCATTTCTAAGTTATATTCAAATTCTTATTACCCTGAATGCCTCATTTTAGGTTTAAAAGGTATTTAATGTTTTCAATGTTATGAAACATTTCTAAAATGATGTTTCATGGAGAACCAGTAAATACTTGAGAGACTATATTTTGGCTTGTTTGTCTGAACAGGTTTGTGTTCAGACATTGTGCTCTTGATACACAATGTGTGTTGCAAGTGTTTGGCCATGACAGACAACCCTTGTGTTTAAGTAGAAAAACTATGAGCTGAGTGACTAGTTCTAATCCATTTTTTGACCAGTGCTGTTCCAATATAATTATTTTCTAATCTCAAGTCTCCATTAAGGGCCTGTGTGAATGTTATCAATAACACTCATCTGATTTGTCCACATGTTGATTCTGGTGGTAGTTTATTTCTGCTTCTTAACTTTAAATGTAATACACGTTTGTCATCCAGCAAAAACAAATTGATATAATTCACTGTCAAGATTACAACCTCATCACCGACATCTGCAAAAACCTGATCACACAGTCTTGTACCTCAACTTAACACCAAATTACCCTTAGGCTTTTGAACCAAGTATTTTCATGTCTTTACAATGGAGCTATCAAAAGTTGTAATAATGCAATTCTCATTAATTAGATAAAGACAACAACATATAGAGCAAATACGTAATCAGCTCATCTCACCAATCAAAATTACCTAATCACAGACCACCATGTAAACAAGAACCAAAAGCACATGCCAAAATCACTTTTCCTTTATTTTTTTCACAATCTAAGATACAATTTTCAACATATTTACAAAAACAAAAGGTAAACTTCAATTACATAACGCATCTCGTTAATCCTGTGTACACAGATGGGGGGGGGGGGTCAAAGTGTGCGAGCCATGACCTTTTGTAGAGTGCCATTCAACATGGTATTAAGTACTTTATGTCAGAGTTCATTACTGATTTAATGACACTTCATGATAGAGGAGATTGAATACCAGAAACAACAGACAGGGACACTAAAAAAACTGTAAATATCCATTTTGAAAGTTCTAGAGGTTATGTAAATACAATATACAAACTGTATGATGAACAAAAGTGTTTTGATTCTTCCCACAAATATTACCTTGCACTCTGATTTGTCAGAGTTTGAGTCAGACTGATGTCATTAATTCACAGACGTGTCTTGATTACAAGTATGATTCTTTTGTGTACAACAGACTTGTACATAATTACTAAAATCTTTCCACCTTTCATGCAGATACATGTAATAAATTTGGAATTATAGCCAACATTCCTTTTTCAATATGGGGTTAGTCCAATGGACGGAGCCCATGGTTAATAGAAGAAACTGGCAGATAACTTCCCTTAAATAATATCATCAACAATAACCAAACATATCATGGTCACTGATGAACAAGTAAACTGGAAATACTATAGAAAAATTGACAGAGAAGGTAAACAGTATAAATAATGAAGCTGATTTACTTTGACCATCCCTTAAGATAGACTTAAGATTTCAAATTAGTCATTTTTGAATTTCATTGGTACAAAAATTGAGCAGAATTACACACTCATGATTATGATTACTTGATTAAAGTTTTCTTTATGAACCACAAGAAATCACCATTATGTCATGACATAACAATGTAGATCAACATGAAAGTTATGGCACGGCATCAGAATTATGTCTTCTAATAATTCTTGTATTTCATTTTAATACTTGAACTAATTCAAAAAATCTGCATAGTGTTTTTACACATTCATGCATAACTAAGAAAAGGCAAAGATTCAAGGAAAGACAGATAAGCTGATTACATGTACCTTCACCACAAAGACAAAAAGATAGAAAGAAAATCACCTTTCTTCCTCCTTTGGTGACATGGGAGCCAGTTGTAAGAAAAAAGAAAAAAGCATGTTATTTAATACAGTATAAGATTGCACTTACTAGCAGAAAATTTGGAATATCATGGTACTAATAGGAAATCATAACATTAACATCTACTCAGAGGTTAAATTTATTTTTAATGTGAGGATCATAGCTGTGTTATTAGTCATATCTTCATTCTGAAAGATGGACTTTAATGAGATTCTTGCAGCTTTATTGTTAAAATTTTCAACTTGGTAGTAAAGAACATACATATATATAGTTCACAGAGTTGGAAAAACTGAAAAAGCTCTATGTTATGAAAAAATTTAAGGTAAAAAAAGTCAAAACTGCCTTCACATTTTATCAATTTTTAATCTACATTAATTATTTAATGTTAGGGTTTTCATGTGTTCTTTACATTATATGTACATGTACATTTTTCTATATTTAGAAGTGAATGTTTTCACAAGTAGTTCACAAGTTCCTTATTTTAGAAGTAATATTTAATTATATATATATGGCTTGCAGTAGAATTTTGGATTAAAAAGTTACTTTTTCAGGGGTGAAGGGCTTCCCCCATGTGAGTGACCCCCATTTCTGGCATCTGCAATTGGACAAGTAACCATCATATATGCTGGAAAAAAAAAAGAGGAAGAAAAACATAAGAATTATATACTTAACATTTATACATAAAGAAATAAACTATATAACAGATTTCACTATTTTGGAATAATATATGCCTTACTTCTGAGAAGAAATAAACCAAATATTTAATAAATAGTTTTGCAAAAAAAACTTTATGATATATTAGTCCTTTTATAATGAACATATTAATATTTAAGGCTACTGTATTCAAGATAAAAACTATGAAATTTCTTAGTAACAAAGGTTACTAAATAATAGCAAAAAATCGTCTAGTGTTACCAGACTGAAAATATTTTAAATAGGTCTTAAGATCACATATAATAGATGCCACACTGCACGTTTGCATAGAATGACTAAAGTACGTGTCATGTAACCAAAAATACTTCAGTTTCAAAATATTTACATAATAAATATGCCCAAGACTGATTAAAGATTAATAATAAATACTAATGTCAGACATTGTTTAGTTATATAGATGTACTGGCTGAAGCACATAGTGTGAACATTACCAAATGTTGTTATATTTTTGACAACTAGCTATTCTTGGAATATTACAACAGCAAATGCTATTATAACAGTATCACTCAGTTAGGGAATTGTTTACCTTTTATGTTTAGTCCTCAGAGAGAGAGAGGAAAAAATTATTTTTTTTTAGATTTAATAAAAAAATTTTTTTTTAAATTACTACTTTAGAAATAAGAATGCACCTTTTTCTGCTTTTCTTCTTTTTCTTTTATTGCATATTTTAACTGCACACACGGACAAAACAATTGCAGCTATGAAAAACAAGATTCCTCCTACTACCCCCGCAGTGATAGCTCGACTTTTGGTGACTTCAGGGCTAATGCCTGAAATCCACAAAAATAAATTTAAGTTATTTAAAGTCAAACAGCAATATAATTTAAATATGCTAGTTAACAAATTCCTAAATATTACCTACTTATTCTTTATGAAGATATATATATATAGAGAGAGTACCAGGGCCATATCCAGCGCTGAAAAAGCTGGGAGGCAAACTCTCAAAGGGTCCCCCTACTCCAAGTAATTTTTTGCCACATAAAGGCCCATTTTTGCAGGAAAAAATAATTGCAATAGAACATTGCATAACTATAAAATTTTATTTTGAGTATAAGTGAATTAGGCTATTCCATCATTTGGAATTTGAAACTACGGTATAAAGTGGTTCAGACCATGGGTTCAGGTGGCTGTTTCTACAGAACTGGGGCTATGTGCACATTAATTTTTAAATAATAAATAATGTACTGAGCAATTAAAAAACTGATTAGGGCCCTTTTGTTGACTGATAGGAGTTGCTTTCATATTGATGATATTTCGTTTGTTTCCAATGTTACAATTTTCTTTATAGGGGCCCCCAATTTAGGGGAAAAAGTGAGGAGGCAATTTCCTCCTCTTCCTCAGCCTGGCTACGACCCTGAGAACTGGGAATATATGACATAATTTTATGCTTGAAATTTTACATGAAAGTTAGCTTTTCCTTAAAGTATCTCATTTGATATCATGCGTACAGGCCTAACTAAGTAAAGTTATAATGAAATGCAGGATTAGACATGAAAGCAAATGCTAAATAGAAAATGTCTTCTAATTTTAATAGCAGAGAACTTATAATGTAATTTTTCAGTTATACTGACTCTAGACAATATGCCTTAACAAGGATCAGTGCTATGCTAATGACGAATAATATTAAACTAATAAAATTTACTTACAATGAAAAAACTATATTATATTTTCTTTAAAGTTGAAATGGTATATATATATACTTTAATTCATTATATCCACAGAGAAATGAGGTAATACTAGAAACTAGATATAAACAGAAGGAACAATAATGTAGAAAAATAAAAATATTTCACTACTAAAAACTGTATTAAAAGCTATCACAGCTGATTCTTTGTATACTAAACATATGAAACTAGTATGTTCAACTATATTAAGCTAGTATTTTAAACAGTGACCTCCATGAAAATTAGAACGAACATGCAATACTGTGTTTATAATTATGTTTTCTCTTTACTAAACATGTAACCTTTTCTAATTGAAAACATTTCCCCCGCAATTTCAATTAAAAACAATTTTTGAAGACACAGGCAAAAAAACATATATGTGAACTTATATTCAGTGATATTCTGATATATTCTTAAATAAATAAATACTTCCTTACTTTGATTTTAAAATGGTCTTAAAAGGTACGAAATTAAAAATCTTCCAGCAATAAACATTTCAGCAATATTTGGTCAAGACACGTTCACATAAAATTTTTTCATCTTAAATATATAAACTTTATTTGCATTTCATATTTATGAATTAGGCATAATTTCGAACTACTGACCAGAGGGAAGATAGCTAGTCAGCAGCACCCTATAACTCACCATCCATGCAAAGGGATTGACTCTCACACTTATAATCCATCCACAGCTAAGGTGTGGGGAATATTTTGTTGTATCACATGGATTTGAACCCAGCTCCAAAATGAAGAGGTCTATCTCACAGCCAACATATAAGCTATACCACAAAACTGATAGCTGAAAATCTTTAATTCTATTTTCCTTTATTTTTTAAGAGTATTTTAGACAAAACACTAATTAGATTAAACATAATTACTGATTACTAAACTAGATTCTACAAAAGAAATGCTGAAAAAATCTGTAATGAATGTGATTAAAAAAACATATATCGAGAAAAAGACACTAATTTTCTGTAAATCAATTTTTTTTCTCCAATTATTCATACAAGGATTTAGTGTCACACAGTTTTTAAAAAAGCATATATTTTCATCATGCTTTGCACAATTTTTGTCAACTTTCACTAAAATCATATGTACCTTCAATATTCAAAGAAATTTCAGGACTAGATGAGCTTACTCCTTTATCAGAATAAGCTGACACACGGAACTTGTATTCACCAGAAGGAACCTTCTTTGCTGCAAGACCAATGATATTATTAGGTAAACATTAAAGTCTTCTATTCTTTGATATAAGTAGCTATAAAGTATAAGGAATATATAGCATGAATAAACATTCTGATAAAAGATGAAAGCCTGGTCAATCTTCATTCAAAAGTATGGTAGTCTTTAATATTGCCAAGTTAAGTTAAAAAGAAAACTTGTTGACCTCCTGATTGGTTTAGTTCTCAATTTTTACAGAACTGGAAAGTATGTGATTACTGGCAACCTGGGAAATACAATTTTACAGTAGTATTGATAAATTGCAGTTAAGTTGCAATTTTGTCTTTAGTGATTCATAGTGACAAATACGTATTAACACTACATTTCTCAAAGGAGTCCATATTGATCTCATCAGATTTTTAAACATATTTTTCAAAACTACTTATGCACAAAATATTTTGAGGGTCTATGACCTTCTTGGTTACAGGGTGCATAATTACATATGAGTCATTAGATAAATTTAAGTAAAAATACTATTAATATTACAATTAAACCCACTCATTACTGCTGGCAAGTGATTTCACATTATTTACTTGGTCAGCACTTTATACTGAGTGTTGTAACAGACAGAAACAAAATCACAAAATGATGCAATATGTGGAAACTCGGTGGTAACGTGTGTTCGTTATTAGCCCAAAGTGACACAATGGGCTATCTGTGCTCTGCCCACAGATAGTGGATGGTATAAAACAAAATCTAGAATTTGAAGATTAAGGCAAAAAATAACCACTTATAATTTAAAAGGATGATTTACTCATTCATACACATATATTAAGCATAAATTAACTGCTTAAAGTTTATAGAATACAGTTCAGCTGATTTGTGTACTTGGACCTAATTAGTATAACAACAGTTATGAAATTGATAATTTCATATATAAAAAGCTTAATTTATTTACTTACAGTGTGTTTAAAGTTCATGATCATTTTAATGAATTGATAAAAGCATAATATTACCATATAATCTGAAAAAGAAATATTATCGTAAGATTATCATTAAATGAAAAAATGTATCTATGAACATTAACTGGAATTATATTTTTTCTTAAGTTAGTCTTTTATGCAAGTGAGAAAGAAAGCTCCTTACATAACAAAAAGTTTAGTAATTTTTGTAATGTGTTTACCAAAAAACAAATCTAACCTAAGAGGCAACACTGACCCAGATACGAAGTTTTCTCTTTGAAAGGTCCCCAGCGTTTCCATGGTTCCGATTCAGTATGATATTCAACATAATAAAAGGCCACGGGAATTGTTTGGTTGAATGGAGGTTTCCAAGAGATAAATACACCATCAGATAATTTCTTGACTACAACGTTTTCTGGTGGGAAGGGCTTTGGGCCTTTAATAATAGAAGAAACAGTTATGTTCAGGAAATTATAAAAAACATATTTACAACAAATATATTACTAAAATATCAAATCAGCAAATATGAACCACGAACTACTCTATCTTACATTTGATGAACATGAACTTACATATTTCCTTTTATCTAACCATACGTTGTGGAGAACATACAAGAATTTTCACTTGATAAATTGTGAGAAAAACAAAATAAACTTCAATGCATAAGAAAACAATGGAGTAGGAACAGAAGCAAACACGTGTTTTGGACTCCCCTTTCCCCCCTGTAAAATATTTAAAAAAAAGTTTTGTTTTCCAAGGGGGAGTAAAAGGCCAATTGTGTTGTGCCTCTGTAGTTATATAAAAGCTATAATTTTTATTATGTACAGGATGGTCATGCTTCTCATTCATCATCAGTCTGCACAGGCATATTGTGGCAACAGGTGTGTATGATGTAGAGTGTGACACACCCAGCCACTGTTGTCCCACCCATTGTTAAACAACCTAGCAACAGGTGTGTGTCATACCCAGACCCAGTAACTGTTGGCCCCACCCAGTGTTAAACAACCTGGCAACAGGTGTGTGTGTGTCACACCCAGCCACCATTGGTCCCACCCAGTGTTAAACAACATTGCAACTAGAGTTTGTGCTTGTCACACTCAGTGTAAAACAACATTGCAACAGGAGTGTGTGTTTGTCACACCCAGTGTTAAACAACCTGGTAAACAGGTGTGTGTCACACCCAGTGTTAAACAAACTTCCTCTTCCATTCACTGGACAAACACATTACTTCAAATTATAACTATTTAAAGCATGAAGATACCAAAACATGTGCAAGCAGACAGAATGGTTTCATTTACATATATTTGCAATAATCTTTCAGTCTTACAAATAGTATACATGTACACATCAATACAGAATTAAACCATGAGTAAATTAATTTCCACTTTAAAGAGTCATTGCAAGTTAATTCCATTTTGAAACCTAAATTTTATAGCAAACAAATAACAAATTTAGAACATATTCTTAGTATAGAAACTGAATACATTTGAAGAACCTGTTCCGAGTGATGTGTCTAAAATAGAAAGCATTGAAAATCATTACTACGTAAATTACAAGTGAAAAACAGATACAAAACTGTGATTACACACAAGGAAATAAATCTCAAGGAAAAAATTTTAGGAATAATACTGAGTTTAATACACTAGCCATACACTAAAATGAATGTATTCTTTACATTAATTTTTCTATATGATTATGTAATTAGTATATTAAAATGTATATTGAGTCCTAAATGTATTTAAAAAGTAGGATGAAAACTTCTTAATTAAAGATGCATTATTATCCACAGGCTGTGGAGTTCTTAAACCTTTGAATTGTGTAGTTAATTCATTTACAAGGTTAACAAATGTTCTTTTTTTGTTCTATTTCAAAATACAATCTTAACTTAGATTGTATTTAACTTACTTAACTTATTCTTTTTTAAGAGTACATTCAAGCTTTGGAAATGACTTGGTAATTCAGAGTAAACAAGTTTCTTTCTGATAAATTTAGAAGCAAAATTATACTTACTACTAGTTTTTGCTTTAACAGTAGAACTAAACATGCCTTCCCCCAGAGCATTTCTAGACTGCACTTTAAATTCATAATTAGTCTCTGATCGTAGGTGATACACAGTAAAAGCTGTAGCACCATTTGGGGCATCCATTTTATTCCAGGGTCTATCCCTTTGATTAGCAACTCGGTACCTGAAAGCAATAGTAAAAACTTTGTGAAGTGTAAAAAAATTACACAGAGAATACAACATCTTTACTCAGGAATAAAAGAGAATTAATAAAATCTATAATAAATGGCTGATTGGCATCAAGCTTTGTTGAAAGGTGTGGGAGGTCCAAAGGTTACTGTGTTACAAATGTTTTTAAACAATGCATGAAATTTACTGTTATATGATTATCCTTATTCATGAAAACACAGGATGATATTTAGCTGTTTGCTAGCAAAACAATCTTATATCTAGGTTCATATGATAAGAGATTAAGATTTCTGAAATTGTTTTCTCCTGAGAAAAGAAGAGTTAGAGGGGATCTGATTGAGGTGTTTAAGATTGTAAAGGGAATTGATAGTGT